TTCCTGAGGCTGCTCTCCTTCACGCAAGGGCTATTTCAGACACTTACCTCCGAAACAGACTTAGGTGACCTAGTCAAAAAAAATCAGGATTGAACATATGCATCAACAGCTGGTCAATATATTTACATCTAATAGAAGTGTGCTTATGTATGCTTCCAGTATAGCTTCTTTGCATATCCATAATAATTCTTTGCATGCCCATAAGAAGGTGAAACCATCTAGTGTAGAGGGAAGCACATGTACCAAGAGGGATGTTGTTAATATATGTACCCTTCCAGATTGGCCTTTTTTTTTTTTATCCTTACCTTCACAGCTTCAGATTCAATCAAACTGCTAATACAAAAAAAAAAAAAAAAAAAGGANNNAAAAAAAAAAAAAAAAAAAAAAGGAAAAAAAAGAACATAAAAAGCAGACCCTGTTAATAATAAAACCACTGGTCCCTAGTCAGCTGAATCCTAGTTAGACCAGACTTTAATTATAAGAAAGTCTACCAGTCACACGCTTCTAATATGAGAACAGAAAAGCCGTCAGATTTGATATATTGAAATCAAGAGCACTAAAAATCACACATACATTGCTTTGCGCCAGCACTAGAAGTCTAGCAGTGATTTATAACGGAGAAAATAGAAAGAGCTTTGCACATTCCATTTGCATGGGCACTTCTCCCCCTTTCTAGGGCACTGGGCAGTCAGGTAGCTGGACACACAGATGTGTCCTCAGCTGTTACGAAAATTATGGAAAAGTTGTCACCCATATTCATATATTTCACAGGATTTGAGTAATACAGAGTGACCCTTGAAATACTGTATGTCTAGAACTTTTACATAAAATTTTGCTGCTAACCTTTTATTTATCTGTGGGACATTTAAATAATTTAATATTTTTTTGTCTTTACTCCCTGGAATACAATTAAAAAACTTTTGGATTCTTTCATTATCGCACAATACCATGAAAGAATCAAATGAAACAGCTAAATCGTGCAAAAAATATACTTTTAACACTTTCATAGGGAGCCTGAATCCCTATAATGACTGGAAAGATGAGGTAGGTAAGTGAAAATCAGCTCCAGAAGAGGCGGCCGTGCTGAGCAGGAAGCTGCTCAAAGCTCACACACACCATGTGGAGCTGCCTATAGTCACCCTAAGAAATGCTGAGCCTTGCAGCACGTCCTTATTGCCGGTTGCATGAACACACTCCTCCTCCCTCGGGACATGCCATCTGAAACCCTCACCTAAATGCAGACATTTCTGTCCATTCTTTGAAGGACACTGTTTTCTTTAAAACATACCAGGAAACGGGGTCATGCTCCCTTTTATACAATAGCCTAATGGCTTGAACACTTGTTCAGGAAACAGGAAAACTCGGCTCCTTTCCTTGCTTCATCAGAGGGGATTCGAGCCCACTTCTTCTATCCCTCTGAACACTGTCCTACAGTTTTTGCTATCTACGGGGCTGATATGGGGATGATGGTGCTCTCCAGCCTTCCTGTTGAAGAGGTCCCACTCACACCTCATGAAATAATTCAGAGATAAAGAAAGCTCCTTCCATACGTTATGTTAAAGACTCATTACACCAAACACAGAAGGAGCCTTAGTCATACAGAAGAGCACTGCTTCTCGGGATCATGGTTCTTAACTGAGTCATCCAAATTTTACTTGAAGTAAAATAGTCTTTGTTTAGATCTGGCCTGAACTCCAACATCCTGGGTGCATCTGCAAAGTCATGTTTAGGCTAAAATGTCCAGCAAGACAAAACTGAGAGATTGCCCAGTTAACTAAAACTGCAGAAAAGCTAATGAATGACCATTGCTCTCTACTAAATCTCATTCCAACAACAGCCTCCAAGTTGATAACACCTTATGTGTGAATTCAGCAATGTGCTAGCAAATGTTTTCTCATCTCCAATACAAGAAAGAAAGTTAATCTTCAGAAACTGCTCAGTGAATTTACAAATCCTGTGGAATTTAACTCAAAGAACTAGACACATCTGAGAAAGAAAATGGGAACAGAGAACACAAGCAGATATTTCCAACCATACTGCACCTTCAAAGGAGACACAGATTATATATTCTAATCAAGAAGAAATCTACACAGTGGATTTACACAGTAGGTCAGGAAGCTTGAATTATTTACACCATTCCTAACCAAATCTACTTTATGTTCTAAAAAAMCAAGATTATAGCATTCACTGTACCTGTATATGAAGCCAAACATGTATCCTTAATTTTCCGCTGACTGCTGTATAATAAAAATTTGGCTTTATGGTTTAGGGATTTTTTTTTAAGTTTTCTGGGACAGGCATTACTTGTGTGGCATGACTCAAAAACTGTGTTTCATCACTTTCATCCAAGCCATTGGCAAAGGGACGACATTTCTGTCTAACAGCAGACACCGGGTTTTTATGCATTCAGACTTTTTTTGTTGTTGCTCCTTGTTCCAGTATTTGTTATAATTGCAAAAACTGGGGGTCAAAAGCACACCTCACTGGTGCAAATCATCATGTACCATGATCTCCAGCTAACCATGAGCCTCATCAAAATCACTGAGCTTCATCCTCTGGCCCCAGGTCCCCAGCCTGACATCGTAAATCTGTCAATAACTTCCACCCTGGCTGCAACAGAACAGCTTGTTATGTGCAAGGAGATCAATAAATCAGACTTAATCCCAGTCCACTACTATTTCCAGTTAATTACAAAGGGATTATTTGCATCTAACTGAGATAATACTGTTTAGACCAACACCAGTGCTTCCAGTTCAGCTCCTTCTTATGGAGGACCCTGACTGAACCAGTTTCAATGCGAGCTTTAATCAATAAAACGCTTCTTTCCGGCAGGAGACGCCAGTCCTTCGGATGCCTGAGAAAAATCCCCTCCGACAGGGACATAGTAGCAATATAAACATGTGTGGGTGCAAAGGGGAATTTCAGATGTTCTTTGACTGTGTTTATGAATCTCACAAGGCTGCTCTGTATCGGGAGTGGGGGAGGAGAAAGCATAAAAATATTAATCAGTTACTTATCTTCTGACATGTTCTGGATCAACATCTGGTGCATGTGCAAGTGATGAAGTATGGCATTTGGCACAAAAGCTTATTTAATCTTCTCTTCCCGAATCAAGCAGGGAAAATTAGCACTCTTAAAAATTAAGTTTCCAGATCCAATTTTTTTTCTTTAAAATAAATTGCCAACATTGTATAGGCTCTCTGTTCTATTCTGGAAAATGTTTTTGGTCTGAGGAAAGACTGATCTTAAGTAGATTATCTATGGGCTGTTTCCTACCACTTTTTGCCTTCCCTGCAGTATCTTACTGCCAGGGCTTAGCAGACAAGTATAGTCTAGGTTCAGCTGTTTTATTTCTACTTCTATCAGTTCAAACTGAGATAGCTCACACATCTGTTTTATTTCTGAAAACACTGCATAGGAAAAGAGTCCAGCTCCTTCTAATCAAGCATAAACTTTCCTATAAATAACTAAGGACTTAACGAAACAATTGTTTGGAGGAAATGAAAGTGTGTTTAGAAACTCAAATTCCTCTATACTGTACGCCTGAGCTGTTCCAGTTTGAATGTCTTCCTGACAGCACGGATCAGTTGCTCTAAGATGCTGTCCCCAGAGTCAGCAAACTGAAACTATAGCAGGAAATCCAGGTATTAACATCATACTATGCACTAATTATAAACCATCATTTCACATTCTGACATTATTCATTTCCAACCTCTTTTAACTAAATCGCATATTTGCTTTCTAATCACAGCTTGACAGGAGAGAGTGTCTGACATAAGACAGTGAAGTGATCTTTTAATAAGACAGCAGTTCAAAGATTGTAGCTTTTAGGCATAATAACGATCTTAAGTTTGATTTGCTGTTCCACAAAGAAGATGTAGAGTTTCTGAAAGAAGACGAAAAGTTTAAATCACTTCAAAAGCTTAAAGTTCCTGCCTTGTGTTCATGTTTCTGCTTTTTAATTGAAGTTAGGTATTAGCTATTTTAACCTCTTTTTTAAGAATTCTCTCTAATAGCTAAAGCTTCTGCAAGCATTGTTAAAAATTTTCCACTTTCTGCCTTTTTTTTTTTTAAATATACCTTAGAGCTTTGTGTGGTCATTTCTACCAGGACAGGTATCGTGCCCTACTCAAACATGTTCTTGAAGCTGGACGGACATCTGAACTCATTTTGTGTGCAAACTTGGTTGCCGATTTTTTTTATTCAAATCTAATTAAGAAACTAATGCAGACTCCATGCAAAAAGGTTCCTTACAGTAAAACAATTTTCTTTTTAACAGCAATATATGAAATGTAGTTTCTTCAGCACTATAACTATATGAGAAAATGGCTGGGGCAATAGTTCTTTCTTTACAGTCTCACTAATATGAAGTAACAGTGCTACTGTTACTTTTAACATTTCTTAAATACCCATTGTGTATCCTGTTTTTCTGGCACTAGACAACTTCAGAGTTGCCAAGACTTGTAATTTACTTTATCTTAATAAACAATCAATATGCCAAATCTCAACTCCCATAAGCTGAATACTTAGGGTTATATTTTTAATTTCCAGCTGTAGTCCTTTGTCTATCTGGTTGTGATTTTTCATTGTCATTTTCTCTTTTCTTTCCATGATAGAAAATCCTTTGGACAGGATTACCAATTCAGCAAGTTGCCTATTTGCTGCCTAAGGTCTTTTACTATTGATTACCACTGTGATTATACAGAGAAATAACACTGATCAAAAAGCCAAGTACTATTCTTCTGCACAAGATACTACATAGAAGTCCAGATATCCTGATATATATATATACACACATATATTATGGTTTCAGTATTACACAGTCAGCAGCAAGCTGGCAAAAGACACCAAACTGGCTAAAAGACACCAAAAGGGTTCTTAAGGTTTAAGTGGGTTGTATTATGCATTTTCACCATGTAGGTAGGAGATGTTTTGTAAGCAAGTGACTTGGCAGCTCCGAGAGAACGCAGCAGAAGCAGGGAGATGGGGGAAATACAAACCTGCACATCATAAGTCCCATTTAACAGGACGGGCCTCTGGGAATTGATGTCCTGCAGCACCCCCGAAAGCACAGTGCGGTTGACTTTCTGGAAGTCTTTGGAGTGGCTGAATTGCACCATGTTGTGGAGAGCCAAAATTTTAGTGTCGAGCTCAGCATCCTGCCTGGTGCGGTTGTGCAGTCCTAGGTGGTACTTGCGGAAGTGTTTGATGAGATCTGTGGGGTCGTTCCCGTAGTAACCATATCCACAGATGTTGCATTTGAAGTCCTGAAGCTCTGGAGACAGAGGCGCCATATCGGGGTTATCATTTACCAACAAATCTGCTTTTGATTTGTTCAGCCTTAAACCCCCATCTGAAGGCACTTGTGGGTTTTTTGAGGCCATGGGGACCGGGCTTGAGCCTTGGCCATCAGTTTGACCACTTTGCACTTGCACTGTTTCATCTGAAGCTTTTGGCGACATCTGATGCTCCTCATTTGTCTCCGCTGCATCTCCTGACGGGGTACAGACCACATCTTGGGTGTCATCTGCATCTGATTTTTGAGGAGACTTCAAGGGCTCACAGATTCCCCCAACAGCTGGAGATGAGAAAGCCAGCATATTTCTGTCTGTCACCTCATCATGAGGGAAGGATGGAACATTTCCTCCCTTATTGTGGCTTTCATAATTGAAGCCAGCCTTTTCACTCAGCACTGAGCTTTTCAAGTCCTTTTTAATGCTGGGAGATGGCTCTTGGACATGCGTGCAAAGTTCCTCCTTGTTATTTAACTCTGCCGCATCACCCTGGTCAGTGTTTTCTTGCATCTGATCTGCAGGAAATTCTTTTTTCCTTCCAGACTCTTCACTTTCAGTACCTGTAGACTCAAGGGTCTGTACCTCACCTTCACTAGCAACGTTTCTTAGAGGGGGGTTCTTTTTCCGGACCATATCTACCACAAAAAAAAAAAGAAAAAAAAGAAAGGAAAGAAAGAAAGAAAAGAAGCAAAAAAATCCCTATAGAATTATTCAACATACGTAACAGATTATAAGCCTCCCACTTTTTAAAGCATTCTGAACTGTATAAAGACATAAAACTTTTCAGACTATTTTAATCAGTTTTTCATTTGTCTATGCAGAAAATGGGAACTTTACATCAAAAAGTCACGCTGAAACTGACCACAATTAAAGGAGTACTGGAAAGCCYGTGAAAACACTTACATCAAAGTAAGTGCATCACAGATTTCATTATCTTTTCTGAAGATAATGGTCAGTTAATGGCAGATAATTAAAACTTAATGCTTCATTTAAAATAATTCAAAAACATTAAGAGGAAAAATAAACTTTTGTACTCTAACATTTGTATACTGCACAAATACATGTAACGCAGCTTAGCAGAAATACACCTAAAGAGGCATAGTCAGGAGCACTTAAACAAGTTATTAAGAAGGAAACAGATTTAGCAGACTTGGAGGCTTTAGACAAAAGTAACTCTCCTAAGCAGGTATCAGTTTCTCCACAGTAAAAGCTCCCCCTCCTACTGCCCATAAACTTCAAACAGGATTATACAGAAACTCTAGAGTCCGGCCCCACAGTCCATTATTCATATAATTAGTTCTATTTGCCAAACGAAGAGAAACTATATTCAGTAACCCGTTGCCAATAAAATTTTACAGGCCTGCATCCAGACATTTGACATTGCAATGTTGCAGAGCAGAGATCTACCCGGAAAACACCTGGAATCCACATGGAGCTGAAGCGCTCAGCCTTCCTCTGCTCAGCCCTCCCTGCAGTGAGCGCCGCGGCTGCGAGGTCTGCAGGTACACTTTTGGTAACCATTTAAGAAAGCTTGGACAGGACAGCATTAAGGGACAGAGAGAAAGAAGCAGGCTGCCACTGGGGACTCAGCTGAACAGGGGATCTTACAAAAAATAAATAATCAGAATACACAAGGCAGAAAGCTAAATCCTGACTCACCAGCTATCTTTCAACAACATTCTCAGAAGAAAAAGGATGAAACCTCCCTGCAYTCTCTACTTGAAGGTTCTGGATCTGATCTTCCTCACCAGCTTCTTTGATCCACTTGTGTTCCCATGCTAGCTATGGGCAGGAGGCAGATGTGTTACAGCTTCTCCTATGCTCTCGTCTTTGCCAACGCTGTGCGCAGCGAGGGACGCCTCCCTCGGCCAAGCCGCCCGCGTGTGGCCCGGTGGCAGCAGACAGCAGCACCACACACAGCAGCGAGCAGCAGTGCCAGGCCTGGGCCTCCATCCACAGGCCGTCCACGCATGGGGAACCGCTCTGCCCAGGGAGGAGCACCGGCCACCTGGGAGCCGCACGGATGCGCTCCGAACGCTGCCACAACCAGGCCTCGAAAGGCTGGGAACGACCTTCTCAAAGCTGCACGTTGAGAAGTGCGGCCGGGACGGAGGTTAAAAATAAAAGAACTGGCGTCTGTACATCCTCTTATTTACATCTGCTCCACATGAAAGGGCACTCTATGCTATGTTGATAAAAACAGACAACTTCTTAGGGGAAGTGTTCAACTTGTGTCTTGGGCTGGCTCTGTTGTCTTTGTGGTTGAGCTGATCCACAGGAAGCATCGTCTACAGCAAGGCTGCTTTCACACAGAATGCCAGCTCAGATTACATAAATTTTGACACTCCGTGTGGTCTTAATAGGTTTCTTAAATGCCTACTGCGATTCTTTACTGTAGAAGGCATATATGCTTGGGAACCAACTGCTCTCTCCTCTTTAACGTCAATCATATCTACCAGCATGCACTGAATTTTACTTCTTTTTGCCACAATAACTTCTGAAACATGAAGTCACTCCKAACTAAGAGAAAAGAAAGATTTCCTGTTGTAACAGGGGAACTATTCAGTATAAACTCAACCTAACAAAAGAACATACTCAAGTCTATAACTCAAAATATATACATAAATATTGTGTCTATGTGGACATAGATTTTTATAGATATTAACGTCCTCAGCCTTTAAACATTACTCTTTCTCTGTGGAGTTCCAGGAATATTCCTGGTTAAAAACTAGGTGAGCAACTCTGGTAGGTGTTCACCCAAGTCTGTATTTTTCTCCTTGGAACTTGGTTACACATCCCAAGCCATGCAACTCCKGGCAGTTAGGAGACAGAGAAAGGAATCCTGACTGCATAGCGAAGGAAAGATCAGAAATCAGGAAAGGAAGCATCATGGCTGTTACTTCAGCTAGAATTAAACAAGACTATATGCAATGCTTTGAAATGTTTTTGTTACAGATATTTTTGGCAGATAAAGGAAGTTTAGAGAATTTGCTATCTTCATGGCAACTGACAGAAGAGAGTTGGAGGGGCAAAAAAAATCCCTACAAAGCAAAGCAAAGGAAAATGAGAACTGTGCACAGTCTAACTAGACTGTATCCCAGGTACTTCAGTTCAAGTTCTCCTGACATGTCTGTGGGTTGGTGTGTTAACAGAAGAAAAATCTCATATCTGTCTAACGAAGCTTTTTCATGCAATATTCTACAGCTTGGGAAAGAAAGGAAAGAAGATAACATTCATTTAAATGCCAAAATTTTCTTAAGTCAAATTTAAAAGTATCTTCACTCCTTTTTGTTCTATTTTTTTAAAATTCATCTGTCATCTATTCGCTTGATATCCACTAAAGGGGACAGTAAGAAAAGACACAGCGTTTTTTTTTTCCTTGGAATTCCATTACTATCATTCTTCAGAGACATATTATGTAAATAAAACTGCATTTGCAATACTCCTAAATCGAAGGAACCATCTCCTCACAAGTCATAAGTTAGATATCGAAAGAATATAGCCACTCTGAAATTATTATCTCTAAGACAAATAACAGATTGCACAATGTTTTATTGTGTGCCAAGAACGTTTTTCAGTTAACAATTTCACTTGAAAAAATGGATCACATACTTGTAAAATCATACCCAGCATTGACTTCATAAGGCATGTGGCTTTAGAGTGCTTTTTACAATTATTAATTCTATTAGTCAACTAGCAGGCGGGCTAATGCAATTGTCTTAGAAGATGCACGGAAGACACAGAAGACATTTTGAGAGCTGATCTGTATATCTGCAAAACAAAACAAAAAAGGTTTTCCTTCCTAAATTATGCATTCACAATATGCATTTTTTTTTAATTAAAAACATTATTATGCCTATCTTACATTCACATGCATCTATTAGGCACTACACAAAGAAAAGTGGCCCCTGTTCTCTGCTTCGGTCAAGTATGARAAATGTTATATCCTTCCTTTCTGCAGATACATGCACACACACAAACACACAGAAAAACAAAAATTATCTCAGATGTGAGATTCACAAAAAAAAAAAA